GCTTAATGATTAATTAGATGGAACATTGTGGGTGTGGTGTATGAATGTTAACACCTTGTATTAATTCTTTAGTATGTTACTTGTGTGGTGTAGAAGATAATTATTTAAGAATGTAATTATGTAAGAATGTTAACATTCTGTTATAATTTTTTTAGTATATTACTTGTGTGGTGTAGAAGAGAATTATTTATGTAGAGATACTGCTTGTAAACCAATGATGGTAAGATGATGTCATGGGGTAGGACTGGATAAGTCTGACTTCTTCCTACTCCATTCAAGCATGTACTAGGTATAAGCAAATTGATATTGGATTATGTGTAAAATTATGTGTGTTGTCATATCAACTGTTTCTACATGCTTGAAAGAATAAATCAAATCAAATCAAAGGTAGACAGTTATGATAATTTGCAGTTTTATATTTCTGTTTGTGTTCCTAATTAGAAATATTATTGAGGGTTTATGATGACTTTTAGACTTCTAAATGCATTTCATCAAACATATTCGATACTTTGAGTCTCTTGTAAATATTTCCCTTTACAAGTGTCATGGTGTCATGGAGTAGACTCCCCATCTACGCTCCACACTGGATGCGACAAATGATAACCATATGGAGGGACTAAAGATGATAGAGAATAAACAAACTATGGATAATGACTTTTCTGCCAGACTCTCAGATGAGATGCACCAACACCTGAAGATCAGTGAGGGGCCTTCCAGCAGCTGCAGGAAAGTCAGGGTGAGACCCAGACTCCAGATGACAAAAAGTTTCCCCCCTTACAGTCAGTGTATCGGTGGGCTCGGGGAAGACACACAGTGTGACAATGAGCTCAATTCAGAATCAAGCATCACTTGTCAGCAGCATCTTGGATATGACAAGATGGTGAGGGATGACAGACATAAGGTTGTTCAAGGAAGAGAAAGAAAAGAAGATGTAGAACTGACTGCCAGATGTGCAAGAGATGAAGTGAGGGTAAAATGGAGGATGAGGAGGAAGGAGAAGTTAGGAGGAAGCTATGATGAGGATGCGGATGGATGGGAGAGAGGAAGGTGGGGTGTGAAAAGAAGAGTGGAAGAACCTGTAAGGGAGAGGAAATATGATGATAAGGGGACGGAACAGGGCACAAACAGCGAGAGGAAACTCTGGAGATGTTCAAATTCAAGTTCTGAGGCAGAGAGAAAAGATGAGAAGGATGAAGAGAGGACAAGATCTCATATTTCAGCAGTAGAGGGAGAGTGTGATGGGAGTGGGGAACGCCTTGAGGGGAAGGATGAAGCAGCCAAGGAGCTACTGGAAATGAGAGGGGGCTCCACAACAAATCAGCAGTCCTTCCCGCATTCAGTTCTCTCCAAGCTTCTGCACTCGTCTTCCTCCACCTCTTCCTGCTCCTCTGTTAACCTCTCATCAGCAGAGAGCGATGAGGTTTTCAGCGAAGGAGAGGATGTCAGCAGAAAGAGGAAGACATTCAGGAAGGTGAGAATGACTGAGACAAACAGAATGACTGGATGCACTAGAGCCACATTTCCAGATTTGGCATTTGCTAACATAGTCTATGCACTGCAGCATCAACCCTGTTGCATGCAGTTTCCCATGGAAGGCTTTAAGCTATATTTCTCAACAGTTTTTGTACCTCTGGGTGTGGTGATTTGCATGGGCATAAAAGAAAGAGGACTTTGAGAAGGCCAGATTTGAATGGTGTTTGCATGCTTAGCTGCTGCTGCTACAAACGTGGGAGCTGACAGTTGGAGGAAGTGTGTGTGCTGTCACACACACTGCACTGGACAATTTCAGACACCAAACAGTAGGCTCTATTACTTAAGAAGGAGAAATCTGCATTTTCAAAACATTACATTTTGGAATGCAAATGTCTGCGGTTTGAAAGATTTGTGACAATTTCTTCACATTACAAACTTATCACTTTTTAACAGTTTTTTAACACTAGCATGCTCAGGTCTACTTTAGCTCCTCGTTTTTTTGTTTTTTCAGGGGCCATGCCTGTGTCTAGTGGCAGCTGTTTTGTGTATATACAAAGCAGTTCATAACTGTTGATATACTCACTGACAGGAACAGTGATGTACACTGAAAATGTATGGGGCTTTTATACTTTAATGTGTCCCAACAAATGCCTCTCAGTCTGAGACACTGTATATTATCAGAGGGTGGAGGGTTTTAATGATGTTTTATCAGGTTTTCCTCAGTTAGTTACATTAATTCCTTTTGTAGACTTTTTAAATGCAAAGCAACATACAAATGAGGTACAAATCTACCTAGATTGAATTAAAGATGAATGTGTGGCCTCAATCTATCACTTCGGTATCAAGGTCCAGATTGAGTCCTACTTGCAGGCCACTTGCATACGTATAGACATTCAGGTTTAAGATGAAAAATCAATTGTAAATTTTGAATAGCTTGCAGGTGAATAGGTTAGTCTGTATGCTTTACACCTGTTAACTTTTCTTAAACCATGTACTTTATACTGTGATACGCTCCTGACCCTGAAGACAGTGAGCCATGTAGAAAATGAAGACAACAACAACATAATGTGCCCTTCTTTTGTGCCTCAGTGCCGCTCCTGGAAAACGTACCTGACCATGATGCACTGGTCGCTGCGGCGGCAGAGCTCCTGGGTCCAACTGGGTGGACATCAAGGCATGTGTGTCACAGTTAAATTGAAGCAGACACGGTTATAACCTTTTTATCTCCAGAGAGTCTGGAACTTTAAAACCAGCCTTTGTTCCCGGTTGCTCACCACATCACATTTTAATTTTATTCATTGTGTTTTAGAACAGGTTTAATTAGGTCAAGGGTCCCTAAGTAAGGGTTTGTCATTTCATAGTGGACTACAATACCTAACTGTTCACTAAACATATAACAGGAAAATTTTACAACTAAGCAATAGCGAGCTTCAGTGAAGACTGAGCGTACAGTTAGTAATGATTCTGGTCAAGCAGCATTGGTTTAGTGATCAGGAGTTTAGTGTTCATTGCTTACATGTACAAGACATGTACAAAACTGGAAGGGCAGTATTGAAATCAGATGGTACCTCATTCGGCTTTCTCAATTTACTAAACATGTAGAAATGTAATAGCTCGATTCTGTGTCCCTTCCTCAATGGATGATGGTGTCCCACCAGGTAACTTTCAGTTGAGTGAGGGAGGGGAGGTGTTGAAACGCTACAGTGAAGTAGAGGCAAAGTGTCTGGACTGCCTTATGAGAGACCCACTCAGGCCCTTTGTGCCGCAGTACCATGGTGTGGTCACCAGGGGGGAGCACTGCTACATCCGCCTGGAGGACCTGCTGAGTGGCCTCAGAAGACCTGTAATAATGGACTGCAAGATGGGAGTCAGGTCTGTATGGAGTACTTCCAGCTAGGTGAAGGGATAAGTGGTGAAACTGTCTGCTTGGTAGCAATGAAAAACTCAAGATGTGTTAATAGTACAACCACTGTCTATGAGACTAACATTAATGATGGCTGGGCAAAAGCTAATGACAGGTGATGGGGGAATAGTGCCTGTGTTTATGGCATAGACTTTACATTAAATTTATGTATTGGTTTGTTGTCTTCCTTGATGACAATGTCTTATGTTATTTATATGTATATTTATATTCCCTAGAGCATCCCAAATATTCACAATGGTTCTTCGTGGATATAACACTTTGTGTCACTCTGTTTCACCTTGCTTCAATATTTTTTCCTACAGGTCTTAAACAGCTGGAAAAAAAAAAATCTCATCTCAAGGTCTGTTTAGTAGCTGTTCCGAATTTCTAAATGCCTTTAACTGGATCTGATGGTGATTCAGACAGCTTGGGGGGGGGGCAATCTAGGCCAGCAATCGGGCAAAGGCAGGGGACACCCTGAATAGGTCGCCAATCCATCGCAGGGCTTGTGTTCTGATTATTTCTGATTGGTCTGGAAATACATCACACAGTCACATTGTTTTCCCATGTAGCTTTATGCTCTTCTATACAATGTACTATATGGGAGTTGTCCCTGCAGGACATATCAGGTGGAAGAGCTGACCAAAGCACGGACCAAAGCCACTCTACGGAGTGACATGTATCACAAAATGGTGAATATAGATCCTTCAGCTCCATCAGATGAGGAACACAAAAAGAAAGGTGTGACCAAGTGGCGCTACCTTCAGTGGAGGGATACAACCAGTTCTACATCCACACTGGGATTCAGGATAGAAGGCATCATGGTAAGAGTAAAGCCCAGTAAAATCACTGCACAACTCATGTTATCCAAAAACACCCATTTACTTCAACTGCTTTATTCTCTAACAATTCTTCAAATGTGCTATGTCTATGCTGTTGTGATTGTGTCCTTGTGAGACAGATGGAGGACGGTAGTGTCCAAAGGGACTTCAGAAAAATTCTGACTTTAGCTCGGGTCACAGAGGCCCTGCTGTACTTCACCAAGAGTCAGCTGGACATCCTGGTCAGTTTGCGGCACTAGCTACCTTACACTCCTCTTACCTTACAAAAATGAATAAAATTGTTCCTTTGGGAATAATAAAGTAATCCTAGATAGTAAAGTGATTCCTTTTTATTGAAAACACCCTGATTACATTTCTCAAAACTGGAGACAGACAAATAAAGTGAAAATCAGATGTGTGTTTCTGTCTCCACTTGCTTTCTTGTCGGATGAAGTGCTATGATGTACTCACTGTATCTGCATGTTCCCAAAACAACTGAAATGACAACCAAAGTAATACAATCATTTATGAAAATATTGTATATAAAATGTTATAATTATTTGATGCTACACTAAAAATCTATTTTAAAAGTGAAAATGAAACCAGTTTTCAAAATAAATCTAAACCTGATACAATTAAATTCTAATCAACTTTTTCATTCTCTTCTTTAACTCATCTGCCTGTTGTTTTTACATGATGCTCCCCCAGTATATCACATGATTTTTTTTACTCTGTGTTAATACTGCTTGTTGCAGCTAAACCACAAGTGTTTCAGTCACATCTGTCTTTCCATCACTGCTCTCAGAAAGAATACCACTCCAGACTCCTGGCTCTGAGAGATGCATTGACAAATTCACCATTTTTCAAAACCCACGAGGTTGGTTTCAAGAGACAAATCTTCCTTTTTTTTTTTTTTTTAAATTGTGCTTTTGATAATTCTGGCTCAGGTGCAATTCAGGCTAATGCAATGAAGAAGCACTTGAAAAGACTTTGTTAGACCATAATAAACTCTATAGAACTTTTGCTGAACAGTTAATATTTATTTCGATGAAATTAATCTTGACTTCATATTTTTATAATGAATCTAAATATAGTTCTGTTTGACCTGTTTAGGTGATTGGCAGCTCGCTTCTCTTTGTCCATGAATACAGCAGGAAGGCCAGTGTGTGGATGATAGACTTTGGGAAGACAAGCCCTGTGCCTGACATGGGCGAACTCCAACACAATGTCCCATGGGCCGAGGGGAGCAGGGAAGACGGCTATCTAATTGGCCTGACCTCCCTCATCACTTCACTGAGTCAGGCCATCAGTGTGGCCTCCTGGCAGCAGGAGGGCAGCTGTGGAGAAGAAAAGAGGGTTACCTGAAGTACACTGAGGGTTGTGGTTGAGACACCCCTTAAACAACACTCAAATTCAGGATGAGCGGGACAAAATGGCTGCTGTTACACTTTCATTTCACTGACTGGAACAGACAGGGAAGAAAGGAGGGTAACTGAAATATGGTGAATCTGTCTTCACGGGCTGGGGAAGAGGAACAAGGGAGTACAGTTCAGCTAAAATCCACAGACATGTGATGTGGTACATGTGGCATGTACATACTGTAACAGTGGAGACAGTGTTGTTCTTAACAGACTCAAAGATTTGGAAGCTTTACAAGACTTTTTCTTATGTTTTTATCATTCAATAAGAACCAAAGATCTAAAAATGTGCATTCTTTACCTGCTGATAGTTTCTTAGCAATGTTTTTTCTCACTTACAACACATGATAAGTTCATTTATTTACAACAAGACTCTTAATGACTTACAAACAAAGATGCACACACAGTTGAACAGCCTCATTCTAAGCAAATCGTGCTTATTAAAAGTGACTTTATTACAGGTGATAATATACGGAGAAAATAGATCTTGTGATATGCCTATCAGGGATATGAATTATTTATGATGTAGCTGAAGTGTTTTTCCCTGGTCTTATTAGCTGTATTTCTTTAAAAATGCATAGCAATTATCAAAATAACTGCAATTAATCAACAAATCCTTTCAGCTCTACTTGTAAATAGCTTACTACTGTTTAATCTTTAACAAAACGGTTTATTTTATGTGGAAATGTAGCCTTAATAGGCTGTCAAAAATTGAAGTGGGGAAAATAGCACAATATTACCATTCTCTGAAATGTGCTGTTTAAGGTACCCTGAAAAGACTATATTTAAATACAAGCAGGCCTACCTGAACACCCTAAGTACAGTAGATGAGGTAGGCACCTATTCTAAATGACCATAAAGCTGAAATAATAGCTGTGTAAAACAAGAAACCAAACATCATAACATTTATGAAAGTGAGATTTATTTCTAACAACGTTGTTTCAATTTCAAAAGACAAGAGTTTTCCCATGCTGATCCACGGTCACGTCAGTCCACTTGGTTGACACCTATGTACTAGACTGCGTCATGTTGTTCCGTCGTGCTGGATAGAGGAACATCAGCAGCAGACTGCCATCTGTGTCTTTTATCATCATCATAAAACTATAACTACAGTTAAGGAAATTAATCGGTAAATACTGTCGGTTGGTTTTTGTGAATCCAACATGATGTTCAGGGGCTTTTTTCCGCCGTGCTAACGCTAACGGCTAGTCAGCTAAACTTAGCGTTTAAGCTAGCGTTAACCCAGTTTACCGCTCACTTGAAGTTACAAAGTTGACGCGGTTAAAACTTTACCTATAACAAACCAGACTGGCACTGGATGTGGAACTTTTCTCTTTTAATTTTTCTTTTCTCACCAATACATTAGCTACGTTCTAACAATTTTCCCAACGGCCGATAGTGGAGACTTTTTGTCTGCATGGAACCCGCTGCTCTTTTTCCTAGGAGCTACCCAAACCTTCAGGTGGTGACACGTGTAGTCGATAACGGTAAGTTTGGTTTTGGATTATGTCTGAGTTTAGACAGGTTTGGTATGGTTAGTACTCGTGTGTTAAAATATAACTACAATGATAGGGTGAAGTCAAGTTGAAATATTGCATTTTTAAAAAATAAACAAAGCTTAAATAGTGTTCTTCTCCTTGGGTGTGCTGCACATGATCAGCCCGCAATGTACCTGCATCACTTTTGTAGCACACCTGTTTTTTATTCACCTTGTGTTCGAGTTGAGTACATCAGTGAAACCATCTTCTGCACATTAGTGTTGGACTGGAGAAAAAAAATTAACGTATTAACATTATCAATATTGTGGTGATTGGTTAGCATATTGCAATAATGAATTTTGACAGTATTGCTCAACCATGACTGCAAAATGCAATTCAATGACATTGTAACAAAAATGGGTGAGCAAGCACTTATTGTAAACAGTTATGGTAAGCAATTCCAGCAACTGGAGGATGAGCAACACGTATTAGGACAGCAGCTGACAACACAAAAATAGTATTCAAAGGGATATTTTCAACTATGTAGAAATTGATTAATCTTCAAAAGTTTCATAGGCTTGGAAAACACTGCAAAATATTAGATGCTCTGTTGAAGCCCCATATGGCCTAGTCTACAACTAATTACTAGAAGTAGCCTGTTTAACATGCAATAAGTAGCTATTATGATGGAAACTCAATGTCAAGCAAAAGTAAATATAAAACATTCAAAAATGAATAAAAGGAGTGTTAGCTTGCTGGAATATTCAATAATTCCTCAAGCAGATTGATTAGCTATATATGCACATGTAGTCGTGTTAAGTTTAAGAGACTCAATGTAATTTACAAAGATTAATATAAAAAATAGAACAAGTTAGAAAAATGTTTGTATATGCCATCAATTACAGTTCTAAGAAAATTGGAATTGGTCAGAATTGGAATTGGCAGTTCAGATTTAAAAGAAGTTGGAACTCAGAATCAGCCAAGAAAATTGCAATCGGCTCATCTTTTAAAAAACTGTTTTCTCAATGCATCTTTGAATTTCAAGCAGAAAAAACACATACATAAAACAGGATGTCAACTCGTTTCAGCAATAGTAAAAATGGGCACTGGTGCACAGTAAACCTTTGTACTGTTTCCACCTGCTCTTTCACCATATCGGACAGCAGTGAGATGCACAGATTGTTATTGTGTATTTCATTTCCAGAGTCAGTATCATTTGTCTAAATCCTACATTTTCAACAACACTATATGGGTGCATGTGCTAGCAAATGAAATTACTTTAGTTATCAACTTTAATTGGGTGGCACTATTAGCTGATGTGCACTGAAAGTAGCTGCTAACACTAGCACCATTATCTGCCTCAAACTACAGCTGTCTGTCCTGCAGCTGGTGTTTTTTTTTTAAACCTCAGATTCAACACAGAAGGTCTTATTTTATCATTCTTCAGTCCTTGATCCTCGCTCGACCCAGAAATTGTTCTGGCCCTCCGTGATGAAGGACGTCCCAAAGCTTTTATTTTGGTTCTGAGGTGTGAGGAGGCTTCCTGGAGGAGCCATAACTGAGGATACACCAGTGCATTCTTTGCAGAAGACTGTTGTGGTTTTTCCTCACTTGTGTCTTTTCCTTACATCTTAGTCCCACACATGTAAAATGTAAGGACAAAATGCAGGGAGAAACTGCAGTGAGAGGGGAACTCGGGTAACATGTTTTTACTGACATGAGATGTATTTTCCTCTGATGTTGCATGTGAAGCGTCCAGTCACAAACTGATTTCCAACAAAGAGTCATGTCAATCCATAATATATTTCAGCTAAAGATCGTAGGTGTATCCTTGGTTATGCCTCCTCAAGACAGCCGCCTCACACTTTAGAGTAGGAATAAGAGCTTTGGGACATCCTTGTTCATGGGGGGGACCAAAAATCCAGTCAGGATCAAGGTCTGAGGGATGATAAAATAAGGGAATAGGGACTCACCTACATAATTTATTAAGGCTTAAAACTGACACCAGCTGACATTTCCTAAAGACAGGCCTAACTAGCTAATTAAAGCCTAGGACATTGTAAAAAGAATCGGACACTTCGCAACTGTAAAGGTACCCAAATTTTTGCACCTGCCACAATGTTTATATGTTTGTTAAATTTTTAATAAAAATATTGTGATATAAATATTAAACATCTATTATGGTTGGCTGAAATATATGGTGTTTCATGATCCATAAAACAGTGTGTTTGCAACTTTCCAATTAAAAACTAATCACCAAAATATGTTAGGCTATTTCTCAAGGGGTGCCCAAACATGTGCACACAATTAATTATATATCAGTGAAAGAAGGCTAAATAGCAGTCAGTACCTATATAATGCATTACATTTGAACAGAATTCCGTTTTAACTGTTAAAACTAAAAACTACGCATTTAATCTTTATGAAGGGATAGTTTATTGCAGCCTGTTCGATCAGACAGCATTGATTATATATATATATGTGTGTGTGTGTTCGTTAATAAATTTAACCGAGTGCATCAATTATAGGATGTGATCTACGATTGAAGGCCACAAAGACCGATATTTGCCAAGTGAAGGATCACTACAATATATAAATGACAAATAGAAATATGTTAAGTTCTCATTGAAACAGTTTGGAGGCAGTTAATACGTCAATACTTTTTTTGTTTTTACAGAATACGCATTTGCAGCCTTTGGAGACGATCAGCTGTAACATTCCTGTTTTCGTTCTGCTGATTTTGTGCCTACATTTATACTTCCACTAGCACTGGAACGACCAGTGGACAAACGTCCTGTGTCTGTAGAAATCTATAACATGACGACATTTTTCGTATCGTTAATTTATCGACCAGTAACTAAGTGGTCGCTATAATTAACGTTATTGACGGTACGAACGACCTCCTTGTAGGTTAAGCTAGGTTAGACAGTGTGCTAACTTTAGCAAACAACTGATATCGAGACAAAGCTAACGCTTGTAATATTGTCAACGGGACTTTAGCTGTTGTGTGTATTCTGTGTAATGTTTTGTGTTTCAACCAGGCAGTCCAGTGTTGTTGGTTTTGTTTGTTTGTTTGTTTGTTTGTGTTTCGTGGTTTGACTTATTCGGGCCATTTTTGACCCCGGAAGGTTTACGACACCTGCTAACATGCGTTCCGGAAGTAGAATGTGTACGCGTTGTAGGCCTATTTCCGCTATTTTCTCTTGTTTGCGCAGTAGTAGAAGATAGCTAAGCTATTAGCACCTAGTTGTCGTGCCATGCGAACACGTTGTGGTCGCCTTTGTGTTTCTTAGGAACTGCTGGGCCTGCTGGAGTTTCATCTACAACGTAGCCCTTGTAGCTGGTGAAAGAGAAAAACGAGACTCGGAGATTATTACATTTCTCATCAAGGATTGTGTAATTTATATAACACTATTCCAGAAACATGGCGGATGGCGGGCGTTACTACAACGGTAAGAAATCCTGTTCACTACGTTAACTTTACACCTTCTCTGCTACTTTTATATCTTTCTTCAGACCACGGGGACTTTATGGTGAGGAGAGAGGTCAGAAGCGCTGCTTTGTCGGTTCTACGAGGTAAAATGGTGTCTTGGGCTCCCTGGAGATCTAATTATTCTGCTTAATTGACACAGTTACTTACACTGTGTATTGTGGTTAATATTTCTTAAATAGATTTACAGTCCCAAAGAGTGAGGATGTAGTCTTAAAACAGATTACACTAAATGCATGTAATATTTTGACAGGCCAAGGCCTAGAGGTTTGTTCCTAGTATTAAAATGGTGGAGCATTTTGAAATAAAACCTGGTAAAAAATTTCAAATTGCATACGCATATAAGTAGGTTTAATTGACATGTTCTAAAGATTACATTGCTAAACCAGTAGGGTTAAAGATATGGAGATCTCTGCAAGCAATAAAAGACATTGTGGCTTGATTTATTCACTACCAAAGTTAACTTCAAATTTTACTCTAATACTGTGATTTATGTGCTGAAAGAATTGTAACTTTGTTTGGGCTTATTGTTTATTTGAGCGTGTATGTTTGTGATATATTTAAGTTAGTAGGCCTTGATTAGCTCTGATACATTTACAGAAATGTTTTTAGTGAATGATGTTCTTCTGTATAAAAGAAAAAGCAAAAGCAACTAATGTACAAATTTTGTTTCCTCTCTCAGAGCATGATGATAGAACCACACCACAGTTTCGCAACCGTAAAGGCAGAGGTCCTCACAAGGGTCGGCCATATGACAGGTCCCGCAGAGACCGCCAACGGGGAGGCTTCGGAGGTCCTGGACCACGGTCTAGACTTGAAGATATTGATGGAGATGTAACTATGAGTGACAGCTCTCAGGACAGCAGCTACCAGCACAGATTGTAAGTGAGGCTGAATGTTCAAGCAAGCATGTTGTTTTAGCACTTTTTGATAGTTTAACATGGACATCGGATGTGTTTAAGAGTGGGACTCAGGGTGCACTAGGGGTGGGCGATATGATGATATTATATCGTGGACGATACACTTTTTCAACAATATCGTAGTATCGTCATATGTGCACGTTCTATCCATTGTAGTTCTATTCATTGATTCTAGATCTATTCATTCTAGATTCCGCCCTCAACATGGGGCAACACAACTAACCCTTTTTTTCCACCTCAAAAGAAAGCATCCGAAAGAATATGCCGACTGTCACGGTATGAAGGGACTGCACGCGAGTAGATCAGCAGGTACAACCAAGCAGCCAGAAGCAAGGCTTAAACAACCAACTTTAATGAAAGAAGCGTTTGAGAAAGGAACTCCGTATGACAGAACGAGCAAGCGCTGGAAAGATGTAACTGACGCGGTGACATTTTACCTGGCCAAAGACATGATTCCCATAAAGACTGTGGAAAATGAGGGCTTTAGACAACTGCTCAAAGTCGTAGATCCACGTTTCCAAATAACCAGCCGCAAATATTTTTCCTCCGCCATTCCACAGCTTTATTCCGAGTGCCGCAGCAGGATGCAACACACAGTTGAAAATGTAACATTTTTTTGCGACAACGGCTGATTTGTGGTCTAGCCGTACGTCAGAGCCTTATTTAAGCCTGACAATACACTGGCTTCATGACTGGAAGCTGCGAAGCGCGTGTCTAGAGACAACAAATTTCACGGATGATCACACTGGAGAACTCATAGCGCAAGGCCTTAGAGACGCGCTTGAAGGTTGGGGACTGAAAGAAGAAAACATGACCTGCATGACGACAGATAGCGGGGCCAATATGGTTAAAGCGTTGGAGCTTAACGGCTGGACTCGTCTGCAGTGCTTTGGGCACAGACTTCACCTAGCTATCGGTGAGTGCAACTAAAAATACATTGTCTCTGTAATTAAAAATTACATTGAACATTTATCATGAACAGTAAAATTAGGAGATTAGTTTGCAATAATATTTGCAGTATATGTAATTGTTTTGTTTTACTTTTGGCTGTATTGTAGCTCTGTAATTTGAAAATTTAAATAATCTTAAAATCAACGAGACTATATCGTGATAATATCGTGTATCGTAATATTTCTAGAAAATATCGTGATACATTTTTTTTCCATATCGCCCACCCCTAGGGTGCACCCCTAAATCCCACTGGCACAGTACAGATTTAGTGTTTTGATGAAAAGATTGCTGTACTGTTTGTAGCTCCTACTCTGCCAGCACATGCATGACATACCAAAAGCCCTGCTGTGATGTGATGCACATCTTGACTACAGAGACACATTTAGTGACATTCGTCCACCACAGAAAGTAGCAATTTGTGTCCTTTTTTCCCCTTTATCTCAAAAAATGAACTCAAGAAATCTAGAAACACACAATTCCTTTAATAGTTTCAGGGCCACTGGAAAATGCTACCTGCAAAGCTGGAGATTGCCGAGTATGGCAGAGGAACTTCAATTAGACCCTGGTTTCTCTGGCCAAAACACAGGTGATCATGTGGATTGTGTCAACATATAGTTTTGTTTTGTCTTTGTTAGTAACCCATTTGGAAGACCCCTTCGGAAAGGAGATGGCCGGTTTGACAGAGACAGGCGACAAGGCAAAATGGGAGGCGGTGGTGGCAGAGGAGGAGGAGGTGGCTTCAAAGGAGGAGACCGAGTTGGGGGAGGCAGCATGGGAGGAGGGAAGAACCGTACAGGCTGGTACAAAGTAACGGTGTGTACTATAACAGTCTCCACAGGACACCCACACTTGTACCCTATAACTGGTTCATATCATGTCCTATATCAATTTTTGCTCTCTTGCCTAATTGACAGATACCACATGGAAGAAAATATGAAAAGAAATGTTTATTTACAGCTCTA